GATTGAAAAAGATACAAATAGACAATATAAGGGGGATAAGTAAAATATTTAGAAATTTTATGAGCAAATATTTACCCAAATTTCAAAACACGTTCAAGTGACAAACCTTCAAGTGATGCGTGTCCAAACTGACTTGATTATAATAGTTTGGAATCTTAAAGATAAAATCGCGAATTAAATTAAAAATTTACTTTAAGTAGTATCAGCAAAGCTAAAACAAATTAAAGTATGCATCTCTGTTGATGTGATGGCCCCTAGCATTATGGTGTTTACCACTCATTTCATTGGTCATCACTCTAAAATCACTCAAAAGATTGATTAATTGCTTGAATGCTACCCAAAGGGTTACTCACATGCCGAGGTACCGATAAATTACACTGGTTTACAACTGTGTGCGTAAATAAAAAAGATATAAATTGAAAATAGTTGAAATAAATTCAGAAAAATTTAATAAAAAAATGGCGGCATTAGATGCACCTTTAGGAAAAAAGCAGTTAAAGGGCTATATTCAGCATTATAACGCACTCATATAGCATATTAGGGCTATATTTAGTATTATCATCAATCCATTCTACATCAAACAGTTGATTGAAATCGCTGGCTGTGTACAAACTGGCTTTGCCATAGGACTTAGTTTGTGATAAATATGTTAATGTCTTCTATTTTCAAGCCTGATATGATGCTGTTTTTACTTATGCATTTTGGTGGCCCCAAAATGGTGCACCGATAAGACATCTAAGAAGTTTTCCTTCGATTCGAGAGTTTTTTTTTTTTTTTTTTTTAGAGACACTGGTAAGGTAGTTATTGCAAGACAGTATAGAGCTAGTTGTGATTTTACGTTACAGTCCAGTACGGATGGTCCAATCCCATTTATAAATGCTATAATCAGGAAATATGAGTATTTTGCTATGTTTGATGTAAGTTTCTGTAACTGCCATAATGTCGGGATTCTATTGAGAATTCTATCGAAAGATAGCTTTCTGCAGACGATAATCACAAAAAATGCGAGAAATTAAAAAGCAGACGGATTTGCCATGTTATAAACGAAGTACAAAAAGCAGACGATAGTTGTCAGGAGTTAAGCCTATCTCTTCAAAATCCAAACGACTTCTTATCCTAATGTTGGGATAGCAGCTGCTCCACTTTTTGCATAAGTTCTAATAAAAGGGTCACGAAGTAAATAGTAAAAATTAGATAATTGTGTCCATTCCTTAAAAAAGCCTCCACAAAATAACTGAAATAATTTAATTTCATGCTTTGAATTTTTGATATGTAGAGGAGAAATATTACTTAAACTTAAATTTTGTTACCACTGGAAAATATTTTTTTTTACTAAGAGGACCTAGTTGACATCAATGCTAATGCAAACTCAACAAGCAAGGTGCTTGCTTTACAATATCAGTCACTCCAGAGACTCTAAAGTCACTCACATACAAACTGCTTATATTTTTTAATTTTACTGTAATTTCACGATGAATGGGATATGGGTCTTCTGCGCGGCCCAGGTGCCCAGCTTTTGTTAAATAAAGTAAGTAAGTAACTAATGCAAACTCCAGGTATTAATATTTATATAATTGATATTTTTTGGTATTCAAAGCTATATTGCTTTTGCAAAATAAACCCGAACTTGTGCTACTATGTAATTTTTTTCTTTCCTTTTTCTGATATAGGGATCATTCCTTTTAAAGGAATGAGTTAAGGTAGCTGTTCGAATCGTATTGACCAAAAATATTACTACGTTTTGTTTCTAGATATTATCATTAAAAAAAAAGTATTTACATTGATATGCAAAACCAATCAATTAACAACGAGATAGCTAGCAAAATAGCTTTTCTTTTCTTTAGTATTTAGTTAAAAAGTAATACATTAGCCGAAGAACTTTTAATAATTGAATGCTCACAACGGTTCACTTCTATAGATTCTTTTGTTTAAAAAAAAAAGCAGACTGGTCCATGTTTCCTTATTGCCAGATCCACCCACCCTATTGAAATTGGTGGAACTACTGTTACAATTCTATCAATTTCTGATTAAAAATATTCCTCGCTGGTAACAAAAGGCGAAAAGAATAATTTAGGGATGACGTGCTTTAAGCTCAATCGACAGACAATAAAACCTATTGATTCAGATGTTCTAATGTGAGCGAAATGGCGCCATTTACGCCAAACGTGCATAAAGTTAATAAAATAAAGCGTCAACATCAAATACTATAGAAAAGCGCAAAACGTGTTGGGAAAATGCTGTATAACCTTACACAAAGGAAGTATTTATAAAATATAGAAAGTCGGTATTTTGATCTTCCATTAGCAAATGATATATATCTGAATTTTCATAATTTGATAGAGTTTTAACAAATAGTAGTAGACAATAACGTGAGATATTTGCACTTTCATTGAATCCGGCGTATTATTATGATTATTATTTTCACTTTGAAGGATTTTTTTTTTTTGTATGAATCGTCACGCTAAGGTGTGACACTAACCACAGTCGCTTCACTTTTTACGACATAACGTGCGATCATTGGACGTTAAAGATCGGACAAACGAAACGACAAAAAAGGGGTTGTCCAGAAAAGAAGCACGCTCTCGCATAAAGTGAATACTTCATTTGGAATATATTTCTTACTCAAATGATTCCGTTTATTCTATGACCATTGTGGGCAGGTTCGGTTATCTGATATGTATGAAGGGTCATTTGCGAGGATGACAATGTCCGAATTATAATATCAATCGTTTTTTTCAAGTCAGGTAGCCTTGCGGAGTTACTGAATATAGTCTGATTTGCATTTTATTTTCCTTCGATGAAATGATGCCGAGCCAGAAATATACAGGTTGGAGATAATTGTCCTGGAATTGTTTAGAAAGCTTTTTATAGAAATCTTCAAATCCAAAAGTTATTCTCCAGTATTGGAGACTTTTTACTGGGGACCATACTAATAAATTAAGCGGAAATAATGTTAAAATTATCCGCCAAAATAACGGAAACATTTTGTAACTATGCGGACAGGTTCAGATAACTTTGAAAACAGCTTTTTGACTACAGTAAAAGCTTGAAATGACGAGTACAGCAGACTTACAAGCCCAATATTACGATTAGTTTCTAAGCCGCAGTTAAAAGGCTAATGTTAAAATGTATAATTTGTATGTTTGTAACGGGTTCAGTCAGAACGAGTTAGTAGTCGTAGCTAGTTTACTAAAGAGACTCTTGAAAAAACCGTTAAGACAAGTTTATCTTGTAAACGAAGATATTTCTTTAAAGAAAATAAATATTGCGTGGATAGATAATAATTATTTTTTCAAATTTTTACGCATTTGCAGGGCCCTGCCTATTGCTAACATAGTTGATAAAATTAATATGAGAGCATCGTTCTTTTCCTTTATATCAAATTAACAGTTATTAAAAAAAACTGAAATATGAAGATTAATTGAAACTAAACTTTACTTTATGCATTGAAAAGAAATGGTCATTAAGGTAGAGGGGATTATTAAATTTACCTTTAATTATTTTTTTCTGCTAGCTATAAATTTGGTTTAAAAATAACTATGACAGATGACAGTGACCTATTTACCAAGTCGTGGTTTCTTTGTGGTTTCCTTTTGATTGTGCATACCTTATTTATAGCGATAATTTTGTATATTTCGAAGGATACTGTTATTACTTGTTGTTCTTTTTTTTTCTTTTTGACCAACTGCAACGTTTAGTATTTAAATTAATAGTGAAGTTGTGGGAGTTTTGACTATGAGTACAATGTGACTTAGATCGGTAGTTTTCAGTGTTTGGTTCAAATTGACATCCCGTAGTCACCATTGGTTGGTTTAATTGTCATTTCATTCTCATCACTGATTGGCTCAAATAGATATTCCGTAGTCTTTTAATGGTTAGTTCAAATAGATATTCCATAGTCTCACTGATTGATTCAAATAGATATTCCGTAGCCTTTTAATGGTTAGTTCAAATAGATATTCCATAGTCTCACTGATTGATTCAAATAGACACTTCGTTGTCCCCATTGGTTGGTTCATTTAATCATTCCGTAGTATCTACTTATCGATTCAAATTTAAATTTTTTAGTCTCCAAAATTGGTAAAAATAGAAATTCCGTTATCTTCACAAGTAGGTTCAAATAAACATTTTAAAGTCTAACTAGTTCAAGCAGACATTCCGTAATCTTCTTTGACTAATTCTCACAGAATCTCCGTTGTCTCCACTGATTGGCTCAAGTACAAATTTCATAGCATTTCAGCGGTTGGTTCAAATAAATATTCCACTTTCTTAATTGATTAATTTAAATGGACATTTCGTTGTATCCACTAGTCTGTTCATATAATCATTCGGTAGTCTCTACTGATTGGTTCAAATTGAAAATTTTTTTTTTATCTCCACAGTTGTTTCGAATAGACATTTCATATTTCTCATAGGTGGATTTAAATAAGAATTCTATGGGCTGATCATTACCAGCTGATCTCCGTAACATCCTCTCCCCTGATTGTCTCAAATAGATATTCCATAAGTTCAAATGGATATTGATTCAAATGATTTCAATTCCAATCATTGGTTTCAATGTTGGTTCAATAGATATTCCATAGTCTCGCTGATGGATTCAAATAGAATTTTCATTGTATCCACTGGTAGGTTCACATAATCATTGGTAGTCTCTATTGATTAGTTCAAATTGACATTTCTTAGTCTCAACAGGTAGTTTCGAATAGACATTTCGTAGTCATCAGACTTTGGTTAAAATAAACAGTCTTTAGTTGGATTAATCGAACAAATACTCTGCATACTCTGTTGGTTCAAATACATCACAAATTTTAATATAACTTTTAAATAATTACGATATACATAATACGAATATGATAATTACATAATACGAACGAAGTTAAAATATAACTTCTACATGTGATTTTAATTATGAATTAATAAATAAAAACTTCAATTGATATCTTTCGATAATTTGAAATGTTATTTTATTAAATATATAATGAACGCATTTCTGTTTTCAGGCGTATGTTTCCTGCCTACAAAGTCCGGGTGAGCGGCCTAGACAAGAAAGCTAAATACATTCTACTGATGGACATTGTGGCAGCAGACGATTGCCGGTATAAATTCCATAATAGCCGGTGGGTAGTGGCAGGGAAGGCCGACCCCGAGATGCCCAAGAGGATGTATATCCATCCTGATTCACCATCCACTGGTGAACAATGGATGCAGAAAGTTGTCTCCTTTCACAAACTGAAAATCACAAACAACATATCAAACAAGCACAGCTTTGTAAGTAGTATTTTATAATCAAATATTCGATAATAAGGTTGAGGAAAAATATAATAATGAGCCACACTTACAAATAATTCAGAAATGAGCTTTTTAAGTTTTTTCTTTTTCTTTTCGAAGGCTTCGTTGTCATATAAAATTATGCTTTTTTACGAATAATATATTGTTTTCCTGATTGCCGTGAGTTTGCAACAGTTTCTGATTTCAGAATAAATAGAATAGTATAATTCAGAAATACCATTTTCAGAATAAGAATAGAAAGCTAGCGTTATTATGAAAATGGTACAAAATGTTAATACGAAGAAAGCCAGTTTTGTGGAAATGAAAACCGTTTGCGGTTTTTTCTTCTTTTTTTTAAAAATATTTTAAAACATACTCCAATGCTGCATTATCTGGGTTCATAAAAATGTGTAAAAACTGAGAATAAGACAGTGAGTTTGATAATTTTCTTCTAGTTGGAAAAACGTCGCCAAATTATCGATTTTTAAAAAAGTTTATAGTTAGTTAAATAATATTGGGCTTAGAGATCCATAAAAATAATAACAATTAAAAAAAAAAGAAATAATTAAATGTAAAATAGGCAACTATAAAATAAGAAATAATGAAATATAAAACTATGAATTAAGACATAATAAAATAAAAAATAAGAAATTATCGAATTAGAAATAAGAAGAAATAAATAATTAAAAGTAAAATAAAAAATAAGAAAATAGAAAATTATTAAATACGAAATAATAAAATAAAAAATTATTAAACAATAGCTTCCTGAAATATTAATCACCACTTTGTAAGCTTTTGCAAACTGTGGCAAATAAAATAATCTTTTAAATAATCTTTTGTAAATAATCTTTTGAAAAAACTGCATTTTTTTAAAATATAAACGAATGGTGAAATAATTATTACGAAAAATAAGAGTAAGAATTTCACTTGTTACTTTAATATGTAAGAAGGTTATGAGGATACTTTAATATGCAATAAGGTTTAAAATGTAATATGTAATAAGATTTGTACAGTCTCTATAATAATAATAATAAAAAATTTTTTAATTAAATCACTTGTGAACATCTGTTTTAAATATGAATCAGATATAAATGATTTTTAGGAAAATAATCATGTCCGGGAGAAAACGATTTTTTTCCATACAATACTAATAAATAATCGTTTGACAAGGGATGAGTGACAGTTGCAATTGAGACACCATCGAAAAACGACCAATTATAGCTCCTTTCCATCTGCACTGTTAGATTGTCCAATTTCGCAACACCAAAGCCCATCGTGAAACTGACAGTCGACGACATCTTAAAACGACAAAAAAATTACGTTCTATTTAATGTATTCTAATCGGGTTTTCATTTAATTGACAGCGTACGCCCTGTCTAAACCACATACGCTTTCATTAGTGTCCGTATTTACCTCTGTCAAAATAGTTCGAAAAAGAAGACATCTGCTTTCTTCGAAAAAGGCATGCGCGAAGAAAAATAGAAAGGAATCAAAAAATGTTCGAAAATCTTTTGCACTACGAGATCTTTGCATTTGATCACTGCTATCTTTTAACTGTACCCACCACTTCGTGATTTGGAACTTAAATCCAAACAGCGGTTAACTGTCATCCGCCGGAGGGTACGGGGTGGCCCACCGATGGAGTTGTAAGTTCTCGGGGTTATTCGAACTTCCAAATCCAACACGCAATCGAAGCATTTTGATGGTGAGCTTTTTTAACGTTTCCTCTCATTGTAAAGATTTTATTTGTAAATACTTCGATAATATTTATTTACCAATTTATTTTTATGATCAATATTATCTATACATTGTATTCAGTCAGGTTAACATAGATTCTCAGTAGTAAATGGCAATTATAAAATGGTTAGTAGAACTGAATTTGCGTTTGAAAAATTATTAGTGTGTCATCTTGTAGCAACAGGAGGAAATAATAGAAGATAAGGATTCCTTAGAATAAGAATTAGAACGAATTAAGATAGAATAAGGATACTTAGTAAAAACCATTTTATTTTATAATCCCCCACAAAAAAATGTTTTTCTTTTTAATATAAATATGCAGCAAAAGATCATATAATATTTTATACAGTGGTAGACTTTTCAAATGCCTCACCACGCGAGGTCAAATGCCTTGTGGTTCATATGAACTTTTGAATCATGTACATGTAGTGGGGTCGAAAATAACTTTAAATCAAATTTACAAAGCATAGAATCATACATGAAAATATAAACTTAGCTGCCACTAGAAATTTTTTAAATTAGTCAAAGTTATTTTGTATTAGCGGAATAATTTTAAGATGTAAAGTTAAGAATCAGGCTATCCCAAGGATATGTTTAATGTTTGCAAGCATTCGTTATGGTTAAGAGTCGTTGTGGTTACTTTAATGTTTACATGCAGTGATGCAATAATTTTTTTTAATTATGATTTCTTAAAAAAAGATTGGTACATTACCTCGGCAACCACTAGGAAATTTACTGCACTACAAATTTACAAAACAAAAACAAAAAATCTTTCATTAAAAGATAAACTTATCAACCACGAGGAGAAATTCTCCGAAAAAAACGTAGAAAGTTGGCAGCTCTGGATAATATAAGTAACTAGCAATAAAAATAAATAGTTATTGCAATAGAGATAGAATAGTTCGCACCAAATTGAAAAATTTATTTAGAAAATATTAGATCATTTGGTTTCTATCTAAACCCGCCTCTTTTCGATTTTAGGGTATGAAAATAATCGACAAATACGCTAAAAGAAAATAATTAAACTTATAATTTGATGTAAAAATTCTGAAAAAGCAGAAATATTTCAGAATTATAATAATGAAAATAACTGTGGTCATAAATTTACATCTCTAACAGCTTTAATTCGAGTGAATTTGCTTAATCCTCTATGCGCCATAAATTTAAATTTATGCTCTACTTTTGAAACTCCAGAACGATATGTCAGATCGCATGTTTAGATATCTAAACATGTATACATGTTAAATTATGTCAGTTCACATGTTTAGATATCTAAGCATGTATACATGTTAAGATATGTCAGATCACATGTTTAGATATCTAAACATGTATTCATGTTACGATATGTCAAATCACGTGTTTAGATATCTAAACATGTATACATGTTAAGATATGTCAAATCACATGTTTAGATATCTAAACGTGTATACATGTTAAGATATGTCAAATCACATGTTTAGATATCTAAACATGTATGCATATTAAGATATGTAAGATCACTTGCTTAAGATGGTGATCATCAAAGTATAATTTATAGAGTTAAAATACGGTCATTCAAAATTTTATTTTTCTAAATATGCTATTCTGCTCTTAAACCTGAATTCAACATGTAAAAAAATCTTTTAAAAAATGCCTAATAAATAATTACAAAAAATTATCGTAAGACAAAAATTTTTGTCTGTTGCTTAGTACTTCCTATTCAAAAATTCCAGATTTAAAAATTACACATAATTATGTAGGTATAGAATTTAGTAAAAAAAAGACATTAAAATGCTTTTAAAGTACATTAAAAAAATTGTTCAGACGCAAAATTGTTGTTTTATTGCTTAAAACTTTAAAAATTATTATAAAGTAAAAAGAAATATATATTAATGCATGCTTGGAACTAGTTATATATGATAAAATACTTTTCAGGTACATTAAAAAGAAGAAGAAAAACTATCGACAATTTTTTATAAGTTTCACTACTTAACAAAAAAATTATAATTGGTAAAAAAAAAAAAAAAATCGTTAAGAATGTATTTTTAAAACTAATAAAGTGATGATAGATTTAGTATAATCTTCAAACTTTAACTGAATTGACGATAAAGTTGAAATTAAAAGTTGTAAGTCCCTGACTGATAAACAATACATAGTAAAACGGACCCGTAAACACTAGAATAAAAAAAATTTATCATAATTTTCTGAAAGAAAATTACGAACTATTCTTCATCACAGTTATTTGTGAAATAGAGAATCTCTTCGAAAACACGATTTATCTCTATAAATATTTCAAAAATGATAAAACGCGCAATTCATTTAATTATATTCTGAACCATAACCCAAGGTGTCGTCGTAATTAAATGAGTGCTTTTTCTCCCTTTTTCTAGGGTATTAAAATATCTGATCTTCTATAACTAGCGAATTGTTTTTTTTTTTTTCTTTTTACAAAAAAAAAAGCAGGTTTTCAGATTACTATCAAATGAATTTTCATACAGAACGCGTACGCTTTCCGTCGATTATATATTTTTGCGACTGCTACGTGACGCAGCCACTCCCGCAGCGAGTTTTGATTGGCAGTGGGAATGACGCGTCGCTTATCAATGCGCAAGAGCTTCCGTTACCATAGTAACGCTTGAAACATAACTGTCAATCATCTTTATTTTCTGAGTGAACAATTTTTTTTTTGTCAGATTATATTTTTACACTTTGTTTTCATTTTCTTTTCACTTCAGTTGTGTGAGAAATTTAACAGCTTTAATGATTAAGGTTTTTCGTTTGGAAGCTGTGATTTTTTTTTATTGCATTAATTATATCTTCGTTTCTTTTATCTGTATATCTTTATGCTTTAACTTCAAAAGTCATTATAAAACTAAAAACATTTTGATCACAAGTGATATAGTTTATCTTGATTACGTCAAATTGCAGACGATAAATTTTGCGTGGAGAATAATAATTTTAGAGCACTTTTTAGACGAATACGTTTTCTTCAGTTGTAAATCTAAAGTAATAAACAATCACTGCTAGGCAACAGGCATGTCGTATTAATAACTTATTATTGAAGTACAATAATATTCAAAGCATTTATTAAATATTCATGAATTTTATTTGGAATGAATTTGATCGTTTGTGAAAATCGAAGCAATGTTCATGTTTTTATTCTTTTGCATGATTTATTTATAAATATGACTCTTAACTTATAAATTACCTACTTTCATGGTTAATTTAAAACTCATATTTTATACCATCAAAATATTACTGTCAATTATTATATTCCGAAAGAA